CAAAATAACAGCAGCAGAGACCTGTGCCCCCAGCTATTTTTGGATGATAAACATTTGTATAAGGTCAACAAAACATGAGCATAGTAAAAAAAAAATTATACTACATTTATCCATTTTAAATACACTAACCCCTCTCCTTTGTAACAACTAAAGTAAAAATGTAATTAATTCAGAAAATCTTTTCAGGACCCCACCTTGATGTTTCGGGACCCCACTTTGGGTCCCGACCCCAACTTTGGGAAACACTGCGAGGATAGGTCTGTTGATTCTGTTCTTGTCATGAGGGGACAGAGCTGTTGATGGTTTTGTCTCTGTTGCATTTAGAGGACGGAGCTATTGGTGTTTCAGTCCTTGCTGCCTCCAGAGGAAAAATCTGCTGGTGGTCAAGGCTTTAAATTATTGCAGTATCACCCATTTCCACAAAGTAGCAGTGCAGGACAACACATCAATATTAACCTTCCTGCTCTGCCGTACTTTCATCTCCTTCCTAAAATCAGAGATGAAACTGCTCATGGTGTGATAATGACATTTTTAAGGTTGAATTAATATTTTCAGAACAAATTCAAAGCTTGTTACAAAGTGACAAGGAAAATGTGAAACTACTAACAAATCATCTTTGTATGTCCTGTTCAGTAGTATCATTATGAATTTTGTTTAGTTAAAATGCAGTAATTATCATAAGATTTTTTTTGTCTGAAGAGACACTGATTAAAAATTCCAGAAAAAGTTTAAATTACAAGCACAGTTTCTTTTTACACATACAACAATTGATTCAATACTAAGTACAGAAATATTTAGGTTATTGTAACATTCCATGTTCCATATCCACAGTCAATCAGCCACACCCTCATTACAATCACTGCTCATCCATTTCACCTGCTTCCACCAGTATTTAAGCTCCATTGTCACAGTCCCACACTGCCAGATTATTGAACGGTTTTAGCAAGTACATAGATGTCCAGTGTTTTCCCATTGCCCAAACCTGATCTCATGTTCATGACCCCACACCTGACTCTCGACTCTCCGACCTTGCCTGCTCCTCGTCTACTTCTGTTCCTGCTTCTGACCACCGGCTCTTGGCCACATTATTGTTTCCTGGACCTCGCCTTATGGATCTCATTTTGGTATTGTCATCGGTTCTCGGATTACACTGTTCTGACCCACGCCTCCCTCACAGATATCCAACTCAAGCCTGACCCACGGACCACAAAAATTGGACTCCTTACCTGGATCAGCCAAGCCTTCTCCTTCAGCCCCAAAAGGTCAGTCCTCTTTGTTTTTCACCGCAATTCTCACTAACTCCTGGTTTTGTGCTCATTGTTGTTCTCTTCTCCTGAGAGTTCCAACCAGTGGTCCCGACTCCGATCCAGCCTATGGTTAAATAATAAAATCTTTATAGCAGGGCTATTTGGCCCGCAGGCCACATCCGAGTGACCAAAGTTCAGGCCGGAAATTGGTTCATTTACACATTGATCTTTCCCCTTCACTCCAAACTCTGCCTCACTTGAGATTCTTTGAATCTGTATATATTTTTACACATCCATAATATTGGTTTATATATTTTATACCTGTATTTGAGTTTATATTTTCATTTCCTTTTACCCCTAATAATTTCAAATCTACAGTTGGTTCTGTGACAACCATGGATGTAGGATTTGTATTGGTACTGTACCGATATTCATGTTGTTGATTTGAATTTCTGATCCAACCAAAACTTTTGTTTCTTTTCCCCAACATGGTTGTAATATTTCTTGACTGGATGATTTTGTACATGGCCTTTTGGATCAATCCATTAATTTAAAGCTAACTGTTTTCTTCTGATGTTTAGTGGTGGTTCTCCCATTTCTACRAATATTGCTCCTGTGGGTGTTTTAAATGCATCTGTAATTAGACTCAATGCTTGATACTGAATATTATTAAATTTTTGTAAAGATGTTTCTGATGCTGAGTTATAAACAGTGGGCCTCATGCAAGAACATGTTCGTATTCTTCTCCTAAATTTCTCTTACTTTTGTTCGTACAAAGGGTTCGTACGAACATGTCACGTCAGATTCAACAAACTCTTCTATCTTCAGGAAACGTGTGTAAATGAGCTGCGTAAATTCCAGAACTTTACGAGTTCAGAGATTGAAGTCCGTCTGTCAG